AGTGGTTCCGCTGCCTGAATTGCAAGCACAAGGGCCCAAGTTCCATCCCTGATACCAAAATAAAAAGGCTGGGGACTTCACTCAGTAGCTCCACGCCTAGCTTCACAAGTGCAAGGTAGCAGGTTCGATCCCCAGTACCAAAAAAATAAAAGCAATCATTTCACAATGTAAATTGATCCAATCATATTGCTCCCCCCTAAAATCTAGTAACAATAAATAAGGGCTGATATTATAGAGGATGTAGGTACTGAAGAGGGATACACATAGCTTTAGCACCCCAAGTGTCTTTGGGGAAGAGGTAAACAACACCCCCATAAAGTGCCACCAAGGTGTAACTTGGAGCACTAAAAAGACACTGAATATTTTGGTCTGTCCAATTTTGCCTGTTACCCAGTACTACAGAGAAAATATCCTTTATATTCCCTTCTCTATAGAGGCTAAGAAACACTAACAGCCTAGAAACTCCTCAGATAAACTTTTGTTTAAATGCTAGTTCTGGCATGGAACACTAAGGCAGGAGGATCCCAAATTCAAGAAAAGCCTGGCAATTTATTTAGTCAAATCCTGTCTCAAAATAAAAATGTTAAAAAGAGCTAGAGAAGTAGCTCAGTGGTAGAGCACTACCTCCAGCCACTTTTTCATTTTTTTGAGACAGGGCCTCAGTAAATCAACCAGGCTGGCCTAAAATTCGCAATGCTGCCTCAGCCTCCTGAGAAACTGGGATTAAATGTGTGTACAACCATACATGACAAACTTGAAAGTCCTTCTGAAAATAATACCATGTCCTTCTCTTGGTTGTACCCTCAGGGTCTGAACTATGCCTGACATGCAATAGTCTATCAATAATTGCATTCAGGTCTGGGGATTTGGCTCAGTGGTTTCGCTTCCTACCTTGCAAGAGCAAGGGCCAGAGTTCAATCCCCAGTACCAAGAAAAAAAAATTACATTTATTAGTACGATTTCTTTCACAACTCAAAAAATTTATCTCCTCTAATTTTTGTTTTTTGGCAAAACCTTTATTGGTACATTTTAGATATATAACATTTACCATAGAGAATTTGTATCTCTATTTATCTTGCTTTTTTTCCCATTCCCCCCTTTAACCCCTATCCCCCTCATTTACAAAAGCTTTGTTTCCATTTTTCCTTCTATTCTTTTTTTCTTTGTCCCTTCATTCCTTTCCCCCTCCTCTCTCCCTTGTATTCCTCCTCATCTGAACACTTTCTTCCCATTTCCCAATATCTAGTATACATTTTGGTCCTTTATATGCTTTTGGTTTCTCATACCTGAGAGACATTGCAGTATTTATTGGGGGAGGTAACCTGGGATTGAACTTGGGACCTTGTGCTTGCAAGGCAGGCAGTGTAACCACTGGGCTAAATCCCCCGGCCCACAATATAGAATTAAAAAAATTTTTTAAAAAAGAAATGGACTCAAAGTGCATCCATTTAGCTAGAAATGTCTCAAGCTTATCCTTTTTTATTACAGAGTAATACTCCATTGTACTTTTTTAAAAGCCCACCGCCCTCCTCACAAGCACAAGGACCCGAGTTCGATCCTGGTACAAAAAAAAGAAAAAGCCCACGTCTTCTTTATCCACTTGTCAGTTGATGGGCATTCGGGCTGTTTCCAAGATTTAGCTATTTATTATAAACTGTGCCACTATAAACATGGGTGTGCATATATCACCGTGGTATGATGCTTTTAATTCTTTTGGAAAGATATATAGAAGGGAATGGCCGAGTTGAAAGTTTGTTCTCAAATTTCATTCTTTTTAAATAGTTCTTAAAATTTCAAAATAGCTGGTAGTTGTGGTGCACACCTGTAATCAAGCACTCAAGAGGCTGAAGCAAAATCATGAATTTGAGGCCAATACGTGCTATATAGTGAGTTCACAGCCAACCTGAACTACAAAGCAAAAAATAAATTAAAAAGTCTTCATTTACTATCTAGAACACTTGTGACCTTTTCTGACACAGACAACCTAAATACATGTCAACACTAATCCAAGAGAAATGTATTACAAAACAGGAATGGAAAATTAATTTTTAAAAAATAAGGCAGATTAAAAAAACCAAACTAAAACAAAAAAAGAATGGAATCTGGCCACACAGCCAAATACTATGCATACCACAGTTTGCAATTTTATAATTTCCATGCATTCAACAATTTTATAAAAGATTAAACTAAGGGTTTTCCTGGCTATTATGGCTTTCCTCATGATAGACCGCCTTATGTCCTCCATGGTGTACTTTTTATCTTGTTTTATCCTCTTTTACTCAGCCCAACCTCACTCTGCAGAGGAAGTTGGTTCCTTATTCTTTACTTTTATTTTTTTCAAATAAACTTTTTCACCATTAAAAACACCCAAAAAATAAGACTTTCCTACAATGAGATTTTGTAATTTCATGAAGTGTACGAATACCTACTGTGTACAAACCTGTGAAAGTCTATACTTGTAAGCACTTCCACACTTCCCAGTCTCCACTTTCTATTCTCACATCTGTCTGACCTTCTAACTGCCAGTTTGTTTTTATCTGTTCTATAGTGCTGATGTATTCCCCATGTTATGGCTTATATCTACATGTCCACCTAAAGCCTTATACACTCATAGGTGTACTTTTGGGAGGTAGCTGGTTCATGAATGTGTGCATTAAGAGTGTGTGATGACTAAATGAGTCCACTTACAGGCTTAGCATAGTTCTGGGTGTAGATAATGGGAAGGCCCACTATGGATGTGTATGGCACCAACCAATAGACTTGGGGCCTGAATGGAATAAAAAGGAAAGAGAGACTTGCTGCTTGGTGCCTCCTGCCTGCACACTATGGACTGTTTCTCCTCTGCCACACCCTGCTGCCTTGCCACCCTGCCCTGGAGCCAGCCTACTATGGACTAAAACTTCTATATAATGAGCTAAAAATAGCCTTTCTTCCTTTAACTTGTGGATGCTAGGTATTTTGTCCCAGCAAAGGAAAAGTAACTAAGAAACTCCCACCTTCACCCCATGAATCATTCTGATTTTATGTATACATGTTGTATTTGAATGGCTAGATGTCAGGTCAAAGTTGGTGTTAAAAGGATACAGCCATGATTAAAAATATTTTTTAAAATTGCTCTTCTGGAATAGATCCATCTGCATTCTTTCTTCCTGTTTTTACCCCCCCACCTTTGCACCAGTAATCAAACTCAGGACTTTGTGCTTGCTAGGCAGTCATGGAGCCACTGAGCTACATCTCAAGCCCCTTTCTTCCTGTTTTGAGAAGTGAAATAACTTCTGAAAGCAGCCAACAGCCATTCAAAGTCATGTCTGACGAACATCAAGGGAGATCACACCGCTTGAGTATTCTATGTGGGATGACTCAAAAGTAACAGCACCGGTCTTCTCTTGTAGCTTTAGATAACTCTAAGGCATTGATGGTAAAAGTAGCTTCTGATGTGATTACATCAAAGAACACCACTTTCCTTGCTCATCAAGAGTTTGATCATGGAAAAATGTTTATAATATTAAGATTAACTGAAATTTTCAGAATTCTGTATAATATATACCATAATCCAAAAGATAAAAATAAGTATACAGCCACAAGTAGTGGTGCCCAGCACCTATAAACCCAGCACTCAAGAGGCTGAGGCAGGAGAATTGTGTGAGTTCGAGGTCAGCCTGGACTACATAGTGAGGAACTGTCTCAAAACAAAAACAAACTCAAAAATCAAAAAACAAACAAAAAAACCCCACAAAAGTCCTCCTGCCTTAGCTTTCCATACAGCTAGGACTTCAATTGTGCATTACCAAAAATTATCAACAGAAGTCCACAACATGGCTAGGGAGGTGGCTCAGAGATAGAGCATTCTTAATGCCCTGGAGTTAATCCCTAGAATGCCAAAAAATTTGTTGTTCACTTTTAGGAGGCTCAGAACATGGCTCAGTGGCAGAGTGGGTGATTACCAAGTTCAATCCCCAGAAAAAAAAAAAAAAAAAAAAAAAAAGAGAAAAGAAACAAATTAATTTATACTGTGGCCTGTCCAGGAAACAAGTTGTATAGACTACCAAATAAAAACAGAATGAAAGCAATTAAATGAGTCTATTTATCCCACCACACTTCGGGTTTTGTGTTTATCTAAAAAACTGTTGTATATGAAAAAACAGCAGTGTGTGATAGTGCACGCCTGTAATCTCAGCATTTGGGAGGCTGAGGCTTGAAGACTGCTGCCAGTTCGAGGCAAACTTGAATAGCATAGAGTTTAAGGCCAGGCTGAACTACATAGGGAATATCAAGACCTTGTCTCAAAATCCAAGTGCGGGGCCAGGGATTTAGCTCAGCAGCATAGCACCTGTCCAGCAAGCATGAGGTCCTGAGTTTGATAGCGGTACCATTAGAAAAAAAGCAAGAGCCAAAAAAAAAAGAAAGTTAAAACAATCTTGTTTCTTAAAAAAAAAAATCTTACATTTCTTAAGGACAGTAATTCACATAAAAAAATGTTACCTTAAATTACCTCTAGGAAATCTAAAGAAAAGATTAATGATATTCATCACTCTATGTGATTCACCTCAAAGATTTTTTTCATGTAATAATAATGAAGCAATACTAATTTATAAACACAATAACCTTCTGTTTTTCTTCCATATCAATTATTTGGTCAGATATTGGGAAATCCACTACATCTTTAATAAGTCAAACACAGTTTCAAGATATTATGCAAAGTAACCGTTCCATTTCTCATCCTAGTTTTATGACAAGTTATTTTACTATCTTCGAGGTCATGTTTCATGCCACGAGGCAGTTAACACATCCAACATCGAATCGGCATTGTAGAGAAAAAAAAATAGCTTTAATAATAAAACTGCAACTTGCATACAACCTATATAGGTTAAAAGAATGCAAAATTGTACCCAACCAGATCTTGCATGTCAAACTCTTGAGAACATTAACAGGGAGTCCTTCTCTGTCTGCTTTTAGCCAATGACTACCAGTGAAGTATAGATCCGTTAAGAGGAACTCACATTCTGACCTCCTTCCAAAACGACAAACTAGAACGGCAAAATTACACTCAGGCACATGGAGTACTCTTCCCTCAAATCACTCCACAGAGAACTCCATCATTTGCTCCGCCCTCTAATAACTCATGCAAAAAAAGTTCAGCACCATCAGAGAGAAACAGACACAGAATTTACAGAACAGCTCAGGGCCTTCCCTCCAGGCGGTTAAGAGAATCTGTGTGTGCCCTTCTCAGGGGTCCAAAAGGAAAGAAAAAGGAAAAATAACCCAGGTCTAAGGTTTTGGGGGGAGGGTATCGACCCCCAGATACGGATCTCGCTCAGAGAAGTTTCTGCCGCCATCCCTGTTTTATCAGGAGGCTCTGGCGCCATAGTCTCGGTCTTGAGCATTTTATGATGGGGAGGTGGGAAACGCTACAGAGGGTTCGGCGGGCCTTCCCCGAGGAAGCTTGGGGGTTCCCGCTCATTCTCCCACAGCTTCAGTCCCCAAAGTGCTCCTGAGCACCCCGTTTCTGGCGGCTGGTCCTTCGGGCGTGCAAAGGCGCAGGCGACCCCACCGCGCTGCCGATCGGGCCCTAAGCCACCAGAGCCACCGCGAGGGCTCCGGGGGGCCCTCCGAAAGAGCCTAGCGGGCTAGGGACCGGGCAGGTGACCTGGCTGGGGGAGAAAGGTAGAATCGGAGAGCCGGGAAGCCCCGCAGCCCCTTTCCCGCTGCCCCGGGAGCAGGAGGAGGAGGGGACGCCGAGGAGGAGGAG